AAAAAAAAAAAAAAGAAAAGCAAGTACAAATACTAAACCTGATATCCACGCAGATATGAGTCATTAATGTATGTTGATATTACATACAAAGTGACTGAATCTTTATAGGAATCTTTAGTCATAAATCATCGATGACTTTCTCTGAACATCAAATTGCTCCATCTCATTATGAAGATAGAATATTATTTTATTAAATTTTACAAGAAAATAAATCCATTACCTCTCTTCATTCGAAGATTTTTTTCTTCAAATACAACCATTCTATTTCCTGATTGGAGAATAAATCTAGCGTGAAGATATAGTAATTCTATTATCAATATACGTACATACATATACACATATAACTATGCAATCCGAAGGAAATATGTACGATTCCTACTGACGATTGTTTTAATCGTCCTACGCAAAAAGATAGATTTTTAACGCCTCAGTGAAGAAATCAGCATAAAATTGAAGCAAGAAATCAAGTACACTAAGAAATCTTTTAATGATTCAGAAATATAATTGAGTTGGAAAGTCGAACGGGGTTAACAACGTGTTTTGTCTTATGAAAGATTGCAGATGACTGGAGAGTCATCAAGTCTTAATAACAACTGTTTCGGCTTCCATTAAGTAAAAGAAAAATATTGACCATTTCAAAGAACATACATACATATATAACAAAACTTTTTTCTGACTCATACCTACTGCCGGTACTGGTCGCTAACACACATATAAAGAACGTGGTAATCTTCGCATATATTGATATGTTCACTACCACAAGCAGCTCTGACGGTTAGTCAGGAAAGCCCTTACACGCTAGTGTACGCTTCCAGAAGGCATTATGCTCCCCGTATCGTACAGTTTGAAGCGGCATTTGGAGAATCTAGCCGGCAGCCGGCCAACCGACCAATCAGCGAGCCGCTTTCGTTTTATGCCCATATATGGCAAGAGCTGTGAATCGAAGTAGTGGGGGAAGCCGGCTGGACGATTCCATTCTAAAACAGGGGTGTACCTGTACAACGATATTAAATAATATGATTTTAAAATAAACAGGTGATCGTCGAATTTCGTAATTTTCAGACTTTTGTCGTTTCATCGGTGACACACTGGCCACGAATTTGAAAAATAAGAGCAAAAAAGCGGAGAACATGTCGGGTAATATGGAACGTTTGCAACGTGTATGCCGACCATACCTTTCGGACGAGTCCACATGACACGGTACCGGCCACGATCTTGCTCACAGTGTTCGCAACTCGCGGCTCTCGAGTCTCGCTTCGTCGTGCCGATAGTTCTCTTGCGGTGTCCCTTTGCCGATCAACGATCGAGTACTTTGTTGGTTACATCCAATTCTAAAAGGTGAGTACTGTATCGTTTGGCATGTTACGTTCAACAATGTTGTTAATTTAGCGCGTTTCACGGCGATCTATCACAATTTCACCGGCGAAAAAGATCGGGGATAAACGCCGGTTCATAAGCAGCCATGATGGCAGGGCGTTGCTCTCTCTGTTTCTCGCATACATCGTTTGCCAGCGCAACTTTTACTTCTCTGGGCAATTCTTTTTTGCTAGTGATATATTGAGAAACGGAGAGTGTACCGGGACGATCCGACAGGTTGTCGTTGTCAAGTGGTTCCTGACGTATACGCACTGCGAGGGCAGGTGGTCGCGACGTGGTCGCGTTTATTAATAGTAGTACCCTGTAGTTAGGATGTTGCAGCACTAACCTCCGATTAACGCTTGCTCATAGCACGAGTAAATCTGTCATTAGCCGGAGACCCTGAGAATACTGAAGTGTAGAAAACTGTTATAACATGCCTATTTACTCTATATTTGAATATTTGTACTCGTCGTTGTTCTAAGTTAATAATAACTGTTTCAAAGAGCACATATAATAGCCTTATATTTAAATCTATAGTCCACCTTTGCACATTTACTTAGCGACGTAAAATTGATACGTAAAATCTATCTTTTAGAAAATGTAATGAGAAATGTGATAAGTTGGATATTTAGCTATTAAGAGTTAGTAAGTATTCACTGTTCTTAAAAACAATTAGGAAGTTAGCATTCAAGCATTTAGATTGTAATGTTTGAAAATTTCATGCGCACGAGGCTCTCGTATTTGAAAAGTAGAATTACCGAAATCGTATTTAAAAAGGAAAAGAAAAATGTTATTTGAACATTAAGTAATAATTTCGAACGTGTAAAAAATATCGACTGACATTGAATATGATCGAAACAGAACTTATTTATCGCGGGGCGAGGGAGGGAAGATCGGAGATGTGCGGTTCGGTCAATTTGGCGGATACATTCATGAAGGGTGGTGAGACACACTTCAAATCGTGGTAGAGGGGTTGATGAAGGGACAGAGGGGGTAACCCCTCCGTGGCAGAGCACTTCCATATATGGTAAAGAAAGCCAGGATTGGCTGAGGGTGTCCTACCTTTATTGGCCGATTGCTTAGTAGTGGGGACCCCGAACAACGACTCTGTTCATATAATAACTGCAAGCCGGCTGTCAGCTACAGTCTGTGTTTGGTGCTAGATCGGTTGGTTGTGCAGCGGTGACACATTCGAAGATACCGAGCTCTCTCTAACTTGTACATAACTTTTTTTTACGAAATAAAAAACGTAAGTCATCCAATGCTAAATTCAGTGATAGCTTGTACGATCAGTAGGCGAATTTTAAAATCGCAGTGTAACCGAGTAGATATTGGTGCGTGGGCGCGAATAATTGATCGACGAGAATCCTTTGCACGTCCGTGGATTTCCAAATCGAGAAGTGGATAGTGCTGAGCTTTATGAAATAATTGTGTCGTATTTATTGTGTCTTGTGATTATATCTTACTAGTTGTACCGTAGAATAGTGTTCGTTTTTAGTAAAATTGGAAAACAAGTATCGGTATATCGGCGAAAGAAATTTTTCTTTTCGGAAAAAAATATCGATTTCTATAGCAAAACACGTTTAAAGTATTACAAGACTGTAAAATACTGGAGTAAGAATAGTTCTGTCAAGTTTGGATTAATTGAGTAAAGCTTGTAGCTTCAATTTTCTATATCCGCAGCGTGTTGTAAGGACTTACTCTTTGAAAACGTATCGGATATTGACCGTTCAATGCCGGGGAAGGGCGGGGCAGGGTGCGGTTCTAGTTAACTGCTGTTTATGGAACACCGAAACATTTTTTGATTACTCTTATTTTTTTAAAGATATTTCTCTTGATATGGAAATGGTACATGAAGTAGAGTATATTTGTTCCTATGTTTAACAAATATTCTGTTTATGATATTTAATTTTCATTATAATAATACAACTATGTCTCTATCACTACGTGTCCCTAAGCGCCATCTTGAAATATTTAAAATATTGCTTTATAGCACATGGTATTTTATAATTTATTACCTTCGTTACACAGTAACACATGTGTATTTCTAATATATAATCTAATTTTTATTGAGTCTTTAAAACGAAATTGAGCAATAATCGAACTTTGTTCTTGCAATTTATGTCAATATCTCAAAAATTGTGTTTTAAATTACAAGTTTGTATTCAAAGTGCTTTAAAGTATAATATAAATAATCAATTCGTTGAGCATTAGACTTTTTACGCTGTGCTTAATAATAATTTTTATATAAAATCGAAATTTTCTTTTGGGGAGAAGTTTTGAAGAAATTTGTAATGTAAATATAAAAAAAGAAAGTGATACAACAACTTACATCAAAATTTATATTATCTTCTGACTTGGTATCCGTTATATTTCAGTCGATGAACGATATAATAAAACATTGCACAATTTCGAAAGAAAGGAATCTTACGCAAATATCTAATATTATTGTTATTTCTTGCAGATAAATAAATAAACCAAACATGTCTGACGAAGAAGTTGCTGCACTCGTAGTTGACAATGGCTCCGGTATGTGTAAGGCCGGTTTCGCCGGGGACGACGCTCCACGCGCCGTCTTCCCATCTATCGTTGGAAGACCACGCCACCAGGGTGTCATGGTTGGCATGGGACAGAAGGATTCCTATGTTGGCGACGAGGCCCAATCAAAGAGAGGTATTCTTACGTTGAAATACCCAATTGAGCATGGTATTGTCACCAACTGGGATGACATGGAGAAAATCTGGCATCATACGTTCTACAATGAACTCCGAGTGGCTCCTGAGGAACATCCAGTACTTCTCACTGAGGCACCCCTTAACCCAAAGGCCAACCGCGAGAAGATGACACAGATTATGTTCGAAACGTTCAATACTCCCGCTATGTATGTCGCCATTCAAGCCGTACTTTCGCTATATGCTTCTGGACGTACTACCGGTATTGTATTAGATTCGGGTGACGGCGTTTCCCACACTGTACCAATCTACGAAGGATACGCTTTGCCTCACGCTATTCTCCGTTTGGATTTGGCTGGCCGTGATTTAACCGACTACCTCATGAAGATCCTCACGGAAAGAGGATACTCCTTTACAACCACGGCTGAACGTGAAATTGTTCGCGACATCAAGGAGAAACTCTGTTATGTTGCCCTCGACTTCGAACAAGAAATGGCAACTGCTGCGTCATCTTCTAGCTTGGAAAAAAGCTATGAACTTCCAGATGGTCAAGTGATCACTATTGGTAACGAAAGATTCCGTTGTCCCGAAGCTCTCTTCCAGCCATCCTTCTTGGGTATGGAAGCCTGCGGTATCCATGAAACAACATACAACTCGATCATGAAATGCGACGTCGATATCCGTAAGGATTTGTATGCCAACACTGTCCTTTCTGGAGGTACTACCATGTATCCTGGAATTGCTGACAGAATGCAAAAGGAAATCACTGCCCTAGCACCATCCACCATGAAAATCAAGATTATCGCACCACCCGAGAGGAAATATTCCGTATGGATCGGTGGATCTATTCTTGCGTCTTTGTCTACCTTCCAACAAATGTGGATTTCTAAACAAGAATACGATGAATCCGGACCATCCATCGTCCACAGGAAGTGCTTCTAAGCACATCTTTGATATTTCTTGCATACTATCATTCCCCGAATCCCGAGAGCGGCCTCTGTCTCGTTTCTCGACCATAGGCATTGTTATTTGAATATATAATTCGAAGGATTCTGTAGCATAGGAGAAATACCTAGGCGTTCGGAGGTTGCATTTCAGATATAATAGTATCTGGTTGATTGATGGGAAATGAATGTAGTAAATCGCCAATTGTAGGAACAATTCCGAACGTTTTTGCTTCATTTTTTTTTTTTCATCACTTAATTAGATGCTATTGTATCTTGCATGTACTCTCTGTATTTCTGAATACTTTACTATTCCATCGAATCGTTTGCATTATATATTCAAATAACATTCCCTATGGTAGAAATCTAGCTCTTTGCACTTCTTGAAACTTTTTGATACTATCGATCAGCAACTCCGGCACACAAGTGCAAGTGAAGCTTCTGGACAACTTTTATTTTTAAAAGGGAAATTTACAAATGCTCATGAATTTATTTATTTTTATTTGTAAATCTGCTTTGTTCTAATGTAAATAAAATTTAAATTTTACATTTAAAATTCTACGTAGTACGATAAATCTGGGAACTATTTTCCATGTGCATTTTTAGCTTATTTGTACAAGCATCGTAGTGAATGTTAACGTCTCCGTTCTCGTTTCTTTTTTCTCTTAGAACATACAATACAATCCTTTTTTCGTTCTCAACTTTTTTCGTTACGTGATCAACATGCGTTGGTGATGCAAAGTGCGCGTTAAAGAAGCTAATGGAGTTACGAGATACATACATGAATATTCCCACAGAGGAGCGAACGGAGTGCAAAGGGCTAGCTTAACCACCCTCACGACAAACATCTTTCTTATTGTCATCGCGATATTTCACTCTACAATCGAAATAATCATTTGTTCTTTTCTTTTTTGAATGAACATGCTATATTATTTGCCAATTTTTAATATTCGCGAGTTTGAGCTGAAGGAAATTATTATGTAAATTATTTCGGAATATCGTTCGATGCAGCATGGAGCCACGTTGTACGTATCCTAAATGCACGAAAGATCTTTTAATTTGGTATCCTCCAATTAAATGCATTCCGCTGACTTCGCGATATTTAGCGATATTTGTTGTATCAGTCTTTCTACAATTCATCATTCCTGGCGGAGATAGGCCTCTGACTTATTAATGTAATCTTTTTCTTTTTTATTGTTACCAATCGTTGAGGGAAAAGATGGCTCTTTCCTTTTTTTCTTTTTTTTTTTTTTTTTTTTTAAATATAATGGGGGAGACCGCTGACCCAGAAAAAAGTATCCTACAAACGCTCGCTCAAACGAATAAAAAAAAAGACACGGTTTCGACCCCGCAAGCGTAGCCAAAGTATTATAATTTATTCCCATTGTAATGTGCAAGACCATTCACGTACACATCTTAAAGACTACTTTAGACTTATGGGATTATAAAATAAAACTCTTAAAAACATTATTGCTTTGACTTTTGTGTTTTTAAGGTTGCAGTTATCCAATACCCTTTACTGGATATTGTGTCCTTGATCTCCAATCCAGTACATCGTAGTTAATCTGAACTGAAAAAAAAGAGAAAGAAATTGATCATCATTTGTTTTATTTAACATGAATTCCTGTAGTTTTATATATAACGTAGCTTTTGTACTATTTGGCGTTAATTCATTATTGTAACGTAAGATTTGTGGTAAAAATTTATATTACTCTAAGAATTAGTTTATATTTTCAGTCGAATAAAAATTATTTTTAATGAAGTGGTATCTGTTACTCCTTATAAAAATGCCATTATTTAGAGTCTTCGAATCTTACTTAAAATTTGATAGACATTTTGTTAGTATATTGTATTTAATAATTCGACTCAATCTTCAGATAATGAAAAGCAAGTGATTGCTTATTTGTAAAATGAAATTCTTTTTTAATCGTTTCTCATGATTATGTATCAGTTTTTAATAAAATCGCCACGTCAATTAATGATCTGTTAATTAAACAAAGTGATAAAAATTTGAATTTAGATGCTAAACAATATTAGAATACAATAGATGTATGATAATTACAGGCATAAAATTATAATGTGTAACAGCAATATATATTTATGATTAATGATTATTTTTAAATTACGATCAGATGGCAGCACAATACACTCGACTTACAAAATTGAATACGGCGCGCATTGTCAAAGTAGACAGAATACACTTGATATGAATTTAAATTTAGACTTTGGTCGTTGCATCTTTTGCACGGTAAACATTTAATTTAAAAATATTTATTGGAATAAAATTCGAATAAAATTTATGAGAAAATTATACTTAGATAATTAGATAAATAAATGCCAGATTAAGGGCGAGACTTTTTGTTGAGATTTCGCGGTCCTTAGCGCAGTTGTTCTCGAGTCATCATTGGAAAAGTACAAAGCGATACTTGGGTCAATGACGTGTATGAAAGCAACACAAATCGGCTCGAGTAGACTGATTCATTTGAATCTGTAACTTGAATCAAAATGCCCGAGCAAAATTCGAGTGATCAATATTCGACGTGGGTAAGTTTATATATAACCTATAGATTTCGTAATTTTGACATACTACGTTGCATAACCTTCGATTATAAACAAAACTTTTTTTGGTTGTCAAATGAACGACTTAGTGTCATCCACTATAAAAAGACTATATATGCGTATATAAAGTTTCGCTATTAATATGCCTTTCAGGTTGGGCTTATATACGTTTTTAATTTAATTGTTGGAACAGGAGCTTTAACATTACCAGCTGTTTTTACTCAAGCAGGATGGGCTCTTGGATTAAGTGTAATTTTAATACTAGCATTTATAAGGTATGTCAATGTATAGTCAATGTATAGTCTTCAATCAATCAGTTTCAAAATTTAATCGCATATTGTTTTGTTTTCATAGTTTTATCACTGTTACATTTGTGATCGAGGTAATGGCATCTGCCAATGCTATAGTAGCATGGCGACACATTCAACATCGAAAACGTATATGCTTCTCTCAGGATTCATCTTTCAACGAAACAGAGTCTGAGGTAGATTTTTTTCTATGCCTGTGCTTTCCTTATGATAGGAAAACTCACTCTCTTTTTAGTAGCATTTTATGTTCTTCTTTTTACATAGAATAAATTGTATATCTCTCTTTTGTTAACTGTATTTGGAATTGTTTTTTAGTTAAAATATGATTCATTTTATATTACATCCTAATTTTAGGTACTTCAAACATTAGGCGAATCTGGTCCTTCAAATTCAGATTCTGAAGATACTCCTCTTGTTATGCCATTTTCGACCAGCCCTGATCGTGCAGACATGACATATCGATATTATGTAATACGTGATAAAATAGAAATGGGACAAATGGCATCAATTTTTTTTAACAAGTTTGGAATAACTCTATTCTATTTATGTTTTGCTATATATCTTTATGGAGATCTAAGCATATATGGAGCAGCTGTTGCAAAAACTTTAGCTGATGTCATTTGCACTTATCAACCAGAAAATTTTACATGCAACTCTACAATACCAGATACTGAACTGTGTTGGAAAGAATTTGCTCTGGATCGATCAGATGCATATAGGATATTTCTTGTATGTATATGCACATAGAGATATCAGTATTTATTTTAACAATTACGTATTTTTTTTTTATATATTACCTTTTCAATATATTTTTCAGAGTATATTTATATTATTACTTGGTCCTTTTGTATTCTTTAATATACAAAAGACTAAATATCTTCAATTGTTAACTTCAGGAATGCGATGGCTTGCATTCACTATCATGATTGTATATGCTTTGAAAAATTTAATCATTCATGGTGCACAAGGAAATCCTCCAGCTGCAAATATCATGGGTAAGTTTATCTACTTAATTGTATTGCATATATATACTTTTTTGACTAAATAAAGTTGTTATATATGTGCATTTCAGGTATACCTACTTTATTTGGTGCTTGCATTTATTCATTTATGTGTCATCATTCTTTACCTGCGTTGGTCGCTCCAATCGCAAATAAGTCTACTTTAACTCGATCTTTGGCATTGGATTATTTATTAATAGCATTTTTTTATCTCTTACTGGCACTAACTGGAGCATTCGCTTTTGAACATTTGGACGATCTTTACACTTTAGATTTTAGCCCTCGTGGATCTGGAGATTGTTCCAAAAGTAACAATATTTTTATTATTCTTATAGAATATTTCTTATCGCTCTTTCCAGTATTTACTTTGAGTACAAGTTTTCCTATCATAGCTATCACCCTTAGAAATAATTTGCAATCATTGTTCCTCAACGAAGATACATCTTATTTTTGTCTTCGTAAAATTGTCTTCCCAATACTGGCAATACTGCCTCCATATATGATTGCTATGAGTACCAAAGATTTATCGATATTGGTAGGAATTACGGGATCATATGCTGGAGCAGGAATTCAATATTTAATTCCAACGTTTTTGGTATATTATGCTAGACAAAAGACAAATAGACTTATAGGTCTTGGTGTTGTTAATAAATTTGCAAGTCCATTCTCCAGTAATTGTTGGCTCATTTTTGTTATAGTTTGGGCTATTGCTTGCATGATTTTAGTATCAGTCAATTTTATACAAATTCATTTCTATTCTATAAGTGTACCTTTAGGATGAAAGATTCTTAAAATACTAAATTAAGAATGTAAAAAAAAGAGAAAAGTTATATAATGGTTACATAATTATTTTGCTCTTAAAATTTGAATCCAGAGCATATCTAAAATAATATCATTGGACTTGAAATTAATTATTTGCAATATACAGAAAGAAAATTGTGATACTAATGATTTTAAAGTTGAAATTAAAATTATATTTAAAATATATAAAACTTTCAATAATAACTCTAAATTGAAGAAATGAAAAAATGCCTTTAAAATAATAGCAAATAATTATTATTTAAAATTTAAAATATGTGATAGAATAATTATAGAAGGTAGAACAATTGAATAATTGTCATTGATAATAAGATACCTTCATTTTATTCTCATTCTTGGTATCGTTATCAATTTCATCAATTTTCATGAAAGAAAATATGGTATTAATAATGATAATAAGAATACATTATGTGTCACAATGTGTCACAGTAAACTGACAATACACTGGTACAAGTCAGGATTAATCTTGTACAAGCCAAATGAATAAGCTTAATTTAAGTTGTAAACTTTTGTATAATACATTTATCTTTTGTATATTTTTATTTGGTAGAGAATATGTCTCTTGATACAGTTTTTACTGTACATAAATGTCTTTCAAATAAGTGATATTTAGTGGCCAACTAATATTTTGTCCACTATTTAAACGGTATGAAGGTGTATCTCAACATGTAGACTTGTACAACAAATAGATATTTAAAAATATTGAAGGCCTATTCAGTATATCTTATTAAAAAAAGAACTTATTTTAACAATTTTTTAGCATACTTTATGTGCACAGAAAGAATTAGGCAGATTAAATGATTATTATTGTTGATTATAGAAATTTGATTTGTATATCACAGAACATATGTATATAATATATAACTGCCAACAAAGTATTCAGAATATACCTCTCATACCGTGTACCTGTACAAAAATGTAATATGTAAAACATGAAATATATATACATATATTTTCTAAGAATAAACAAAAAATAAAAAATTGACTACATGAATTTATTTTGATTTATTTTTATATATATAGAGTGAAAATTTAATCACTTCAAATTACTCGAAAATAACTTACTGTATGAAAAAATTTTTCAAACAAAAATTTAAGTTCATCAAAGGAAATATAATTTAATTTCATTAGCTTTTTAACAGGTAAATGAGCAGAGGATATATGAAAATCAATTACATTTTTCTAAAGCCTAAAATTACAGGTGACTTCCCATTTATATTTAAATTTTCAAAATTTTTCATTGGCAGCAAAGATAAGGACGCGACGTTTACCACAAAAAGGTATGAACTTATAATTTTCACGCAATATTTATAACAAATTTTATCTGTTTTCTGATTATAATTAAATTGCGACTAAAAAGATTATCACCAAACTGTATATATTATTAAAGCATACGACATAGAGATAATTAATATGCTGTATTATATATATATATTTTAAATTTAAAAGATAATAAAAGTACATATTTTAAAATTTGAATACTAGCGATTGATATTACTAAAATTATAATAAAATATTTATTTATATCACTGATGTTATTTAATTTCTCAATATTACTATCTATGCCGAAGCAATACTGATTTTTATGAAGGTGAATTTCTTTTATACATGTTTTAATCGATTTTGAACAGTCTAACGTTTAAATGATATTACTCGCATGTTATAAAAAAAGTTTTTCATTTGAATATTTACAGAAATGTCGGGCAAAGGTAACAGCAAAGTTACAGCAAACAGTTCAGCGAAAATTAATTTTAAATAACAAATAAACTGAATTTATTCGTTATTCACAAATAGCAAATAAATAATTAATGTTATTCGTAATTATATTCTGTATATACATAATATATTCTAATATATTATAATATATTCTGTACATACATATTTCTATTTATTCATATTTATACTTACATGTATATTATATTTAGCAGAACAAATTTTAACACGAATAGATTTTTCTGTAATAGTCTAACAACATAAGGTGGCACAGTAAAAGCATTATTTTATTTGCATCTTTACAACCCGATCGATTATAACTATTAAAGTTTGTTTTCCTAAATTGTAAGATATCATACAAATCATTGTCTCTGTATACAGTCATTATACTGGAGCACATCTATTTTATACAAAAAAATTGAAGAATTTGAAATATGAGTCATTTCTTCTTGATTTTATATTTTTGTGAGCAAATAGAGTAGACTAGACACTTTGGGTTATCAGAATAAAAAAAAGAAATATTTGAGCACATAGACATTTCGATAGATCTGTTATGTTTAACAAAAATTCAAGATATTATATAATGAAAGATAATAGATTATGTATAACAAATATACATTAGATTAAAATTTACAATAATTTACAATATACAATAAATTAAAATTTACTTTGTACAAAAAATATTAAACATATCACATAAATGAATATCCCAAAGTGAATATGTGTATCATTAATTGACCAAGAAATTTAAACAGGCTTATGATAAATTTTTATGTGATAACTATATTTTTTTTTTGCTGATATCGAATTCGATTCTTATTTTCTTTATTTTCAAATCACAACTTATGAAATTTGTAGCTGAAAAATAGCACATTATGTTAAATAAATAGCACGATGTTTATGCAATGGAAAAGCTTTTTTCTGGAGGTTTTAAAGCTAAAATGTTTATGCTTATACCCCATTTTTCTTTGGTCGTCAGTCTTTAATTGTACTACAGGTTTTTGACTAAAACTCGTTATAATTTTTGAACACCTATCTAATTATTTAATATAGAATATTTTTGTTTTACAGAAGTTGTAGACACGTTACCATTAAAATCTTTTGCAGTTATTTTAAATTGGAATCAATTTCATAAATGTTAGATTTTAAGATATGTC